GGAAACTGCCCCCATGATCCAGTCACCTCCCCCCAGGTCCCTCCCTGACACATGGGGATTACAATTCGAGATAAGATTTGGGTGAGTGCACAGAGCCAAACCATATCAGACATATCAGACAGGATCTTGCTCTGTCACTCAGGCTGGAGTGCAGTGGTGCCATCATAGCTCACTGAAGCCTCAAACACTTGAGCTCAAGTGATCCTCCCACTTAGCCTCCCGAGTAGCTATGGGCCACCATGCATGGCTAATTTGTTAATTTTTTATTTTTTGGTAGCAATGAGGTCTTGCTATGTTGACAGGCTGGTCTCAAACTCCTGGCCTCAAGTGATCATCCTGCCTCGGCCTCCCAAATCACTGCGATTACAGGCATGAGCCCCCATGCCTAGCCAAAATTGTCTTGATAGCAAAATTAAATTTTCTGTCATCAGTGGAAATGAAATGATTAAACCAGACAACGAATCTGAAGTGAGCAATGAAACACAACCGGTGTGAAAGTATCTCAGACCATCTTCCAACGCATCCATCCTCAGCACTCCTCCCTTTTCCTCACTTGATGAGGAAACATGTTGCAGAAACAAGCTGACCAGGGTACTTTAGAGCTACTCAGAGTAGAGAGATAGTTGGGCCTTCCCCAAGTCAGCAGTGTGGCATGACACTATGCCGCCAACCACAGCTCTGCTGCTAAAATAAAACCAAATGGAAACTTTGATATTAGCAGAGGCCTTTACCATCAAGGTTGGTAGGGAACACAAGGCATTTGCTATCTTGACTTGACCATGAAAGAGAGGCCTGGCCATAGAGATGGGATTGGATATGGAGAACTGGGGGTCTGGCTCAGGTGAGCATTGTGGGAATCCACATCAAGAAGGAGGCAGGGATAGTATCGTGGAAATCCAAGAGTGAGAGTGCTGGGAAGGATGCACTTCGCTGGCCCTGCAGGTGCTTTGGAATATAAAGCAGTGTGGGCACCAGAGCTCCAGGGCTGTGTGCCTCCCCTCCTGGCATCACCATGACCTGCCCTGCCCCTCTCCACTACCTGTTCCTGCCACCCTTTGCCCCCTGGTAGCAGCTGCCAATTCTTTTCCTCTATGCTATATGCATTTTTAAACCTCTTTTCTGTATTTCTCCTAAGCTAAGCTGGAGCCACACAATGCCAAGTACCTGTACCTCCTACATCAGTGCAAGAAACCTGCACCTCCCACTTTCCATTCCCCAACCAGGCCGGTGTGGCACCAATGGGCTCTGGCCAAGGACTCTGGCCTGCTATGAAGAAGTGAACAGCAGGGGAGCCATTCCAAGGGGATACACACAGGGCCTATTTCTGCCCATTTATCTGACACTGACCCTCAGCCTATTTGTACTTCATTTTCTTCATTTGAAAAATGAAGATACTAATGGGATCTATTGCACAGGGTTGTTGTGAGGTACATGTGAGTAAATATGCGTAAGTGCTAAGAAGGGAACCTGGTACCACGTGGTGTGTGCTTGATGTGTCCCCAGTTCTCAACCTGTCACTGTTTCCTCCCCACATTCCATTTAGGGTGAAGAAAACATTTACCAGCATGACCTACAGAGACCTGCCTCATCTGGCACTTTCCTACCTCTCTGGCTCCCTGCATCCCCTGTTTACGCCCTCCTGAAATCCTCAGCTCCTGTCAATCCTCTCTACAGGTACCTGTTCCTTCCAAGGCGTAGGTCTTTGCTCACACCTGGAACAGGAATTAAAAGAAATTTTAAAATATGTAAGCAAAAGCTCAGTTGTATGTAAGAAAAACCAATTCCCCCTGAGGAAGAGAAAGAGCTGAAGTCCTTTAAAAATTGACTGCCTGTTTTTCTGAGGCTAGTGAGTCTTATCTCTCCCTTTCCTGGGCATTGTGAAGACCCTGTTTCTCTAGCTGTGCAGGTGCAAGGTCACTAGACAGATAAACTCAAGTCATAAAACGTGTTGTTCCTTGAAAAGTAAGAAATAATGTAATGCATGTCTTAATTGAATAACTCTCTTTGTTTCTCACTTCTGTAATATGCTTCCCCCTGCACAAATCTTCCCCCACTCCACAAAATGCTTAAAAGGTAGCTTGACTCTTTGTTCGGGGCTCAGTCCTTTGGATGTTAATCTGACTGGTTTGGTGCACCTAAGTAATTAAGTAATTCCTCCTCAACCCCTCGGTCTCTCTGATTCCTCAATTATCCTGCTGCACACCGTGACCTCTGCCTGGAAGGCTCTCTCCTCCCCCATGACTGATTCCCACTCACAGCTCCAACCTCAACTCAGCCATTCCTTCCTCTGGGAAGCCTCTGATTTCACCAACTCAGCCCAGTCATGCTCCAGTCAGCTCCCTAGCAGCTCATCGGGAAGTTGGAATGTGGCCTTAGTATGTGAGATTCGATCTGCTTGTCTCTCTGTGGCTCCGGGCTCCACGAGGCATGTGCAACCCCTACTGCCCTCTGGTCTATGTCTGGCCCCAAATGCAATGCCTTTTGCATGGATCCCCAAAAAATATATGTTGAATAAATGAGTGAATGAATGAATGAAGGAATGCATGGTCACTTTGCTTTTCTTCTCTGTCTTGAACCAAGCAATTGAGAGCAAGAATCTTTTCTTTCCCATTGCGAGTCACCAAACATGATAGAAATCCACCCTCGGGCATGGTTGTCCTTATGTTTCTGCTCCTCTGGGGCTCTCAATGGCTTCAGAATCCCCTGCAGACTCATTCTGCTGGGCACGTGGTCTGAAATCCAAGAGACTCAGGCAATACTCTAATTAGCCGGCCAGCTGCTGCATGCCATAGCTGTTGGTATTCCCTTCTGAGATGGGGGTGCTTCCCAGATTTCACCCACCAGTGCACTGTAACCAATTTCCACCACCCCATTTTTCCTGGGCTTAATCCCGTTCCTGACACTGATATGAATTGTGCTTTTGTAGTTACAGGCATAGAGGATCTTTCTGATTCTTCAGCGGTAAGGAGACACATGGGTTGAAACCGAGCCAGGCCTGGGACCTCCTAGGAGCAGAGGCAGTTGCCACCCGTGGCCCCTCACCTTGTCTTTCCCCTGGGCTGTGAGGTGTTGCTGCCTCACGGGCCTTGCTTCTCTCTGCACATTTGTTCTGCTCTTCTCTTGCTATGGAGTGGTTCCTTTAGTCTGTGTTTTCAGTGGGATGTAAAGAGAAGCTGGGCCCCAACACAGGCTCTGCCATTTTCAGCTGCCTGTGTGGGGTTGGATCACATGGACTGGACATGTCCCCTCTGACACCCTTTCAGCAGGCACAGGGGAGGGCACTTTCCTGTACAGAAGCTGTCGGCATGGCAGGCAGCACCACCAAATTCAGTGGTCTGTGGAGGCCAGTGCTTCCATAATAAACTTTGCTTATTATCTTTTACAGAGTTCTCTGGAGTTGGAGAACCAGGATGACATACATTTTAAAAAACAGCTGTCTATCACAAAAAGGAGTATTACAATATATGATACAGTAAAACCATCAAAATGACTATTCAAATAAATAACACATATTCAATTTATTAAATAGATAATATATTTACAACAGCTCAAAATTCTGAAATTATGGAATAGTATTCAGTAGAAATTCTCTCACCCTTGTCCCCCATCTATCCAGTTTCCACACTCCCTCCAAAACAAGTAACCACTGTTTTTTTTAACTCCTTATTTTGAAATAATATAGACTCCCAAGAAATTGCAAAATTAATAAGGAGAATTCCTGATATAACCACTCTTTAAAGTGTAGAGTATACTCTTCCAGGAAATACATATATAAGCTTGTATAAATGTATCATATTTTCCACTCTGTTTTATTCAAATGGCATCATGTTATACATACTTTTGCACCTTGATGCTAAAGACTGAATATGTCTTGGCAAAATTCATATGTTGGAGCCTTAACCCCCAATACAATGGTATTTGGAGATTGGGCCTTTGGGAGGTGAACAGGTGATGAGAGTGGAGCCCTCATTAATGAGATTAGTGGTCTTATAAGAAAAAAGATGAGAGAGATGGTCTATTTCCACCATGTGAGGTTACAGCAAGAAGGTACCTGTTGGCAAATCAAGAGGGGAGCCCTCACTAGGAGCTGATTTGCCAGCACCTTAATTTTGGACTTCTCAACCTCCAGAACTATGATAAATAAATTTCTTTCTTTCTTTTTTTTTGTGAGGGAGTTTCACTCTTGTGGCCCAGGCTACAGTGCAATGGCACAATCTCGGCTCACTGCAACCTCCGCCTCCTGGATTCAAGTTATTTTCCTGCCTCAGCCTCCTGAGTAGCTGAGATTGCAGGCATGTGCCACCATGCCCAGCTAATTTTTATATTTTTAGTAGAGATAGGGTTTCATCATATTGGCCAGGCTGGTCTCGAACTCCTGACCTGCAGTCTCCCAAAGTGCCGGGATTACAGGCATGAGCCACCACACCTGGCGGAGAAATAAATTTCTATTGTTTAAGCCACCTGGTCCATAGTATTTTTGTTATTTCAGCCATAACTGACTAAGGCACTTGCTAAAACAGACAGACAAACAAATAAAAAGCCTTACTGAATTTATTACATAAATAATCAAGTGGTCACTTTAATTTTTTGTGTCACTTTTCCTGGATCAAAGTCTTTCTCTGATGCAAAACATGATATTCTCTTTACTCCATATATTGACTCAGGTATCATAAAAAAAAAAAAATCAAAATCGTAGGGCTGTTTTCACAAACATGCCATTTAAAATGCATGGTGCCAAACCTCTTTCCTGAATATTTTATTCCAGCAGATCTGAGTTGGTGTGCAGAAATCTATTAAAAAAAAAAAAAAAAAGTTCTTCAGGTGATCGAGCTAGATCTAGCACATGGAAGTTCTTACTCAGATTCTGGCAATTGTTGTCTAAGAATATATTGATAGAGTACCTACTTTTAAAAAGTGAATGCACTGGTGCATGACCAAAGCCACAACACCCCACACATGTGACTGTGATCTTTGCTCCTTTGCAAAGTCCTCATAGAGTTGAAGAGTTCTGCACTTTGTTCCTTCCCTGGCACACCTCTCTCTGCATTCCTTCCATCTCCTGACATTCTCCACTCCTGTCTCTGTGTTTTAAAACCGGTGTAGGAAGTGTGCATGCTTGTGGCATCAGACTCCGGGCCATGTTTTTCGTGACTCCCATCTTGGTAGCCATTCTCTGCATTTTGGTTGTGTGGATCTTTAAAAATGCTGATAGACACATGGAGAAAAAGAAGGGGGAGCCTAGAGCCATAGCCGAGGCTCGCCCCTGGGTGGATGAAGACTTAAAAGACAGCAGTGACCTGCACCAAGCAGAAGAAGGTAAATATACCAGCTATACTGCTTAGCTTCGCTGTCGTATGTGTTGATGATGAGTGTGAGTCAATGGCAGGGCTTATGGAAGAGGAATAAACACACACAGGCCAGCTTCAGCATCAATCTCTATTCTGCTAATGAATCAGTGCCTGGCACAGACAGATAATCTATCTCCAGTGATGAGCTTGTCACCTGCTGGGACCAACCCTTTTTTATTTTGGATACTCAGTGAAAACGCTGTTGAGAGGCTAAAGTTTTCCCTGGCTCCAATTCTGTTCTGGTTGTTAAAATCTTTCTGCAGGGATTCATCCCAGGCTGGCAGTGGGCAGGGTCTAAGTGGCCAGGTTTTGATCAGGGACTTTGAAATCTACCAAGTGTCATCACCTAGGAGGCTGCCACCTTTCCCTGTGCCAGGCCCTGGAAATGAAGGACTGGGGTGGCCTTTGTCCTCAACACACTGAATGTCCAATTCAGCTGCCAAGATGATACATGAGAATCAGAGAGAGTAACAAAGAGACAGACCCGGTGGAACTGATTCTAAGGTGTTTAGAGCAGGCCTGGGAGTTTGACAGTGCAGTCAGGGAAAGGACAAACTGGGCTGGGAGGATGAATAGGGTACAAATAGCAAGTGCTGGGAGGCCTGTCAGGCAACAAAGGGCAGAAGAAGCAGGAGCACCGGGAGGCCTGGGGTGGGGGTAAGAAAGGAAGTGGAGAATCGAGGGCAGAGGGAAGGGATAAGAATGGAAGTAGAGAATTGAGGGTGGGAGGGTTATGGCCACCTTGAGAAGAAGACGTGATGAAGGAGGCAGGTAGGAAGGGAGAGACTGTGGAAGAGGTTTGAGCCACCAATGTTTGAGAAGCTTTGTCTGGGATGGGTTTGATTTGGAAGAGGCTCTGTGATCTTCAGCTGGGCTAATGATGCCCCTATCCCCAAACAGAGTCTATCTGGACATGTGAGTGTGTGTGAGTGTGTATGTGTTCATGAATGTGCATGTGTGTGTGTGTGCAGGTGTGTGTGTGCATAAGAGTGTATGTGTGTGTGTTTGTGTGTGAGTGTGTGAGTGTTCATTAATGTGCATGTGTGAGTGTGTCTACATGAGAGTGTGCATGAGTGTGTGTGAGTGTGCGTGTGAGTGTGCATGTATGTGTGTGTGTGCATGAATGTGTGTGAGCATACATGAGTATGTGTGTGTATGCGTGTGTTTGTGAGAGTATGTGTGCATGAGTGTGTGTCCTAATCTCAGTTCCGGGGCACAGGGTGTACAGCTGGCCCTCAGTGCCAGGAGCCTGTAGTGCTGAATGCACCGCACAGGAGTCTAGCCTCTTAGCAGGGCTGCCTCTTGCTCTCCTACATTGAAAGTTCTTCCACTCAGAACACCAATTCTACCCAGCAGAGAAGCACGTTTAATCCAGGGGACATCTGCTGTGAAGCTGGGTAATGGTTTGTGCTGGTAAGGATGGCCCGGATGGTGGGGGTAGTGGGAATGCAGTGGAAGGGGTGGATCAGGGTGGATCTGAGTTAAGTTAATGGAAGAGCAACAGGATTTGCTAATAAATTGGATATTGGGAAAAGGAGGAGAGAGGGAGAGTTGGAAGCTGGAAGCTATTATAAGTGGGTGAGGGAATAAGGATCCAGCTTAAAGGGGAATATGTTGAGTTCCATCAAGGACATGTTTTATTTCAGATGACAGTGACACACGTGAGCAGAAAAGGGAGAGAGCAGTCTAGGTTAGGGGCCCAGGCCACAGATACTGACTGGAGAGTCACCAGTATGGGGAAGATACTTGGAACCTGAACAACTAATGAATCCACAAAGAGAGCATTGCTAGAGAGAAGGGTGAGGATAGAACCTGGGGGACACGTGCAGTTAAGAGGAACTGTGGAAGAGAAATGTACTAGAGAAAGGGAGAAGCTGTGGGAAAGGGAGCTCTGGGATCATAACAGTAAGAAGCCCTTATATATTAATAGCACTTACTGTATGCAATCAGAGTCACATTTTATGTGTAGTAAATAGTTTCATCTTCGTGACAGTACAATGATTCGAATAGGTAGGCACTATTAGAATCCCAATATTATAGATAAGGAAACTGAGGCTCCAATAGGGTAAGCCCAGGAAGGTGATTGCAGAGACAGGATCCAAGCAGTCTGGCTGTAGGGTCCAGACATATAGCTGTTTGATGGGCTGCCTCTCCCCTGGGAGAATGACCTAGAATGGAGGAGGCAGGAGATAACCAGCAGGGACAAACATTAAATGAGAGACCAGAAGGAGTGTGCATTGAGGAAAGGCCACTGGATTTGAAGACCCAAGAGGTCTGAGGACACAAGAGAGCTTGGGCAGGCTGTTGAGGGTCAGGTCTTGGGGCTGGGCCTGGAGGCTGGGAACATTGAGCAGAACTGGAGGGCCATTCTCTGGCTCTCTGCCAGATCACTTACTTTTGCAAAGTGCTTTGTCTCTTCATTCTCTGTTCCCTTCCATCCTCATCCTTCTCTTATCTTTATGCCGAGGAATGAAAGGGACAGCCTTAGTGTCCTCCTTAGCAGCTGGGGCAAAGACTGCCCTGAGTGTGGCGTCCACAGATCTCTTGTATGGGGATTCTAATAGTGCCTACCTCATTGTATTGTCATGAAGATGAAATGATTTACTCCTCATCTCTTATGTTGTTTACATAAGTGGTCCATGCTAAGGTCACACAGGTGGCTGGTGAGAACCAATGCTTAAACCCAGGCTTCTCAGCTCCCAAGTCCCTGCTCTCAGTCACAGGGTGGTGGACATGATCTACGTGGGGATCTTACTCTAGGTCCAGAAGGGATTGAGAAGGAGCTAACTGGAGAAGAGAACGGACTCCTTTACTTAAGAAACATGGAGATGGTGTTGTTGACTGGAAATAGATACTAGATTCAAGCCATTTTTAATATTAACAAGACACTTAATGGTAAAATAAGTATTGTAGGACTTTCTAGCATGAGTTAAGGAAAATATGGGTACCAATCTAACCTCCTGCAGCTCTGATTCACAAATAATTCCTACTCCATGTTCACAGGTCAGGGAATTGGCATCTGTATGTAGGGGTGGGGTAGGGGGATGGAGATAGAACATTGTGTGTCCATGCTTACTAGACATGTGTATGTGTGTGTAGGGGGGTGGGGAGTGGTGAAGGAACATGGTGTGTCCATGCTTATCAGACATTGTGTGTGGGTGGGTTGGGGGGTGGTGAGGGAACATTGAATGTCCATGCTTATTAGACATGTGTGTGGGTGGGTGGGTTGGGGGGTGGTGAGAGAACATTGTGTGTCCATGCTTATTAGATGTAAAGCATAGTCTTCCTCTGCAAACGAGCCAAGCTTGGTGTCCTGTTAATACCTTGTTTGTCTACAGTTAGGGTCCAAGAAAGAAGAGTTGCTAAAGTTTATCTCAAAGAAATAAATCTCAGATTGTCCCAATAAAATGAATTGAAAATCCTACCTACAAATCCTCTAGTTAGGCCCAGAATCATAGAAGTTCATAGAAATGGGAAAAGAAGAAAAAAGAAATACATCTCATTAAGATGAATCTGTTTTAATGTTAGTGGGGGATTCTTCTGTACTTAGCTTCATTGGCCATCCAAAAGCTATTATTCTAATTGAAGTCACTAACTGAATAATAAGTGACCCATCTTGTCCAGTCTTTTCTAAGAAAGGCCTGAGTTAATTTTTTTATCCTGTGTGGGTAACACTTGAGAACAAAAATGTTCCTACAAACTTGAGAAACAGATTGTTATGTGCCCATAATAACAAGTAGCTTTCAGAACTGGTTCCAAGCCTGAGCAGTGAATCAATGACAACTCATTTCAGAATAAACTTGGCAAGCTAACCAATCAGTGTCAGCCTCATGCTTCTGAAAGTCAGCCAACCAGGAGTGGACTCATTCCCAGGGCCAGCTCCTCTGAGTGTCAAGAGTCTCAACCAAATGACACTGATCCTACAAATGATGTGTCACTCGCACCCCTGAAAGTCCACCAGTTCCTGAACTTCATGCTTCCCAATCAAGTAGCGTACTAGGGCTAGTCTCTGGGGATTAGCAAGGACCAATTGTTAAATATTTAGGAGCTTTTTTGTTAAATCATTAGTGGCTTGAAGTCAGGCCATGGTGTGATTATTTACATCATGGATACTGGCAAGTGCTATAAATCAGTGCTTTCTCTCTTCCACCCTGCAAAAAGTTGGCTTACCAGCACACCACTGCCAAAAATTCTATACTAAGTCAGCATTCTACTCTGCTCAGAGAGTTGTGCTTGATCAGCATAGTTGTCTTTTACTATGGGAAGCAACACAATCAGCTTTGTCTTGGACACACCCAGACATTAATACTTTGACATGACTAATTTAAGAGGTTGGTTTGATAGACTCCTGTAAGACCTTAAGCTTTTAGAACAAGAGACAGGCAAGTTTAGATGAGAGAAGAGTAGGAAAGGAAAAGGACTTGAATGAAGATATTGTTCTTGAGATCAAGTCTGGGTGGGTTCCTACTAGGGGAAAGTTAAGGTCAGCAAAGGACATTGGGGTACCGAAAGAGATAAAGGGACTCAGAAGAACAAATCCTGTCAACTTCACTCCATTGCTTTGGAGACAAGGATAAAAATACCTTTTTCTCTACCCAATCTAGGTTCATGGCTGAGGCCCCTGTAACAAAAGACAGATTAACAGAAAGTGTAAATGTTTATTTAGCATAAGTTTCATGTGATACAGGAGGCTTCATAGGGAAATGAAGACCCAAAGGAACAGTTAAACCTGTGTGTTTTCATGCTAGGTTTGGTGAAAAGTGAACAGTCGTGGAGATATACAAGAGGACAGAGGGGCTATGGTCTAATGTGATCTAATGGCAATAAACTAGGGAAACTTAGTGTATTAGTCTGTTTTCAGACTGCTGATAAAGACATACCTGAGACTCAGTAATTTATAAAGAAAAAGATTCAATGGACTCACAGTTCTATGTGGCTAGAGATGCCTCACAATCATGGTAGAACGTG